CATCTGCGCAGGAGTCCAGTATTAAGCGCTGATATATTAGCCGTCACCTGACTTATTCCCATCAACGTAATTGGAGAGACATATGCAGTTCAACATACTTTTCGCTACACTCAGCTTGTGATACTCTGAACGATTGGAAAGCGTTATCAATTACAATGCTTTCTTTTAAACGTCGACATGTAGTTTAAAGATGCAAGAATTCCCATGGTGTACTAGTTTCCCGGTCATAGACTTGAGACAGAAGGAACACATCACAATTTTCTCGGTGTCTTACCGAATTTTCCAGCCCGTCTAAATAATAAGCCGAAATCTTCGTTTATTCCATGGGTCCTATTTTAGAGATTTTGTCTGATTCTTTGTTCAACAGCTTGACCGTCGCGAACGACTACGTCTACTGCGTGATCCACAGAATAGAATCAGCAGCAGCGACTTGCGTATCGATTAGTTTATAATAAGGATGACTTGCACAGCATCAACGGCCTCCTCAACCTTCGCCCAGCTTACTCAAAAATGGATGGAGCTGAATGTGGGTACAACGCCTGAAAAAGCCCAACATTATGTCTATGTGCACCGCGTACGACCTAGTCGCAACATCATTTATCAGGTCTCCGTAGGGGTAAATTGGATCTCAAAAGCCTGCGTATCATAAAGGACACAATAAGTAGGAACTGTTACAACCGGCCTCAGTTCTGAAAAGGACGATTTATCCTGTCAGTAGGCAGTGTTCCCAATCACAACATTTTGCGCGTTGTGGTGGATTCATGTACGTAGGATTTATTTTAGTGAGGAATGTGCTGGTGCGCCATAGAAACGGATTTCCCATTGTTCTCTCCCTCTGTCCTGTGCCAATCGACTGTCCAAGGCAAGTTTCTTGCAAATCTTGCATTTAGCATGGACCCAGATATAAAACTAACTTCAGGGTTGTGACTCAGCGTGAAGTTACTAAGATTACAAGTTTTCGGTCGGCAGTCTCTTTGCAGCGCACTTATCAGTTTGTAATGGCTTATCCTACGCCATATTTTCAAGAAAAAATATCACAAACGTTACAAAGGTGTTTGGAACCCGGATTGATCCTTGACCCAAAGTAAACACCGACCACTATTTTTACCGAATAACTACTATTCACTCCGATTTTCGTTTCTGAAAATCATTGATACTCTGCGATCTTTTCTCCTACAGCTGGCCCTTTTGGTTTTACTGGGATGCCTTCAAACACCATCCGCAGTTCTCTTTATGGATGCAGCCTTGACGCTAGACGTCAACACGCAGAGGGAAATTTTACACTTGATTGAGGAGCCGATGAGCTGTATCCAAGGTTCTTCACCCCTCACACGAGAAAAACTGCTCTCTACAATTTCTCTGCAACCTAAAAGTCCTGAATCGCGGCATGGTCTTCCCGGCTTTGCACCGGTTGAGTTTGATCAAGCATCAGACCAACAAGGCCAGGTTAGTCATCTATGATTGTTCTTACTTGGTTCTGTTAAGCCGACGCCGATTAAATCGATGTCTGTGACGGAAGCTGAAGACTGTCATTCTCGGATTGCTAGCCAGCCTCTTCATGAGGATGGTGACTGGATTTCAGGGAGGCTACCTCCGGATGGTGTGGACCTGTTCCGGACTGGGCTAGCAGAACCTTTTATTACTAGTTCACCACTTGTCCAAGATAGCAGTCAAGCCCGGTCTGTCGATCTTCGTAAAACCATCGTTCCCGTAAGTTATTTGTCTTGATATAATTTAATCATTAACATAAACAGTACCTGGCAAACCGTTGCTAGTCTGTCAGCCCACCTGACTCTACTTGTTATTCTGACGGTGTTCGTCGTCTCATCCAGCCGCCTACAAACCACAGGCTGCTCACATCTCTAATGATTTCCCCATTTGTCAGACCACTCAGATGCTCATTAAGGCCTGCTTTCACGTCATTTACCCGCATCTTCACTTGGAAACTTCCACGGCATTAACAGTCGGGGTTAAGCCCTGGTAAAATGATGTTTGCGGAGAAGTCACTTATGCTCGTCGAAACTTTTAGTGAATCAGAAATTAAGGAGAACGCCGCTGAGCCATTGTGTTGGCACCTGGCTATACACACAATAGTTTAAAAAGCAGTTACATTGGGAAATCGAGGGATCTGTACGTAAATACCTCTATTTGACCGCCGCAGTCAGTGGATATCATGCTAGGTCTAGGATGTTATATTCAGCATATAAACGTACAAATGGAGGCCATTTCTGGCGGGTTTCAATTCAGTTCTCGGGATCCAGATTAGCTGCCCAGCCAGTTTTGGCTAGCTATCCGTGGTTAAAAGGCAAACCGAGCGCCGGCTTACAGAAATGACGGCCCGCGGACCACTTTGATCGATATCTGTTCTTCGCAGTCTACAGAAACCACTTCTGTCCCGAGGACGAAGTGGTAATTTGCGTGTGAGCTAGATTATATTAAAAGACATACATAACACCTTCCTCGTTGTCCTTTGCCGCATCCGCCATCTTCCGAACAAGGCCAGACGATTTGAGATAGCTAGCTGATGAAGTCCATTCGTTGCGCATATGATTGGTTCTGTAGATGGCGCTGGGAAGGTGCCATTGCAGCTGGACTAATCGTCAGTCCAGAGGAGTAGCAAACTTCTCTATCAATTGACAGTTTTTTAGGCCACCATTTTTAACACATCTTGATAGGCTAAGATACATTCGGTAACTTTTAGTAAGGGAAATACCTGTTTAGTTACCCTCTACCCTCCCCATCCCATATGCTAGGGAAATGTTCGAGTCAAGTCTGCTCCGATTAAGATCAAGTGCAGTAACGAATATGTCGCGCCTGAAATAGGAAAGACAGGGACCAGCTGCAGTGATCGTGAGGCAGACATGGGAGGCTTTCAATGATAAAGTTGATAGAAAACGTCACTGTTTATCGTTGTATGCTTTTACGACATTTGCTAAGTATGTGGGACCTATAATCCACGCGTCAGCAAACCAACAAATTAGAACTAGTCTAGACGACAAGTGTTTCCCCTGTCAACCTGCCTTCTATTCAACCGGCCTTTTTCCCTCCGTTGCGTCAATTGTGGATTGTTCGCTCTCCTGTTTGCATTTCCCAGCTCTGATTAGTAGGCTCCCTTCTAATAAATGAAGGTTTG